ATATACAAAGGAAAAGAGAGACTGCTAGAAATAGTGACGAAATTTGTGTGCGAGAAAGTTTTTCTACGAAAATCGAAAAGATGATACAACCACGAAAAATATCAGATATAGAGATGAAAGAGTAAAAGGAACAAGAGAGGAAAATCACTAATATCGGAAAATGTGAAAGATCTAGGATAATTAGACAATATGGAGTATATGTAGGAAAAAAAGAGAAAAAGGGAGGTCCGACAAGAACGAGAAAATAATTTTTTTTAAACATATATAAAAAAAGAAAAATCTTAAAGCAGAAAACATTAGTTATAATTTGTTAAATAAAAGAAAATAGAGGGTCTCAGTATCGTGAGAAAGAGGAAAGAAATTTACTGATTGATGTTATTTGTTGAGTTGGTCCACTTTAACCACTCTTACATCTAACGATTTATTATAGTAATTGTTACAAGAACAATTAATTTATTTATCTAAATATANGGGTGGGAGGGAGAGAGATCAGTGGGCGAGATTGTGATAGGAAAAGAGTAGGGTGACAGAGTGAAATTGTTGTAAAGAAAGAAAGATTAAGATCAGAGAGCGATTAAGTGAGAGGAAGAGGTATACAAAACATAGTAGGGAGACAGTGTAAGAGAGAAAGGAATTGAATAAGAAAGAGATTGAGATATAGAAAGAAAGTGAGGCGGGGAGCGATTGATCGACAATACATACAAAAATAAGTAGTGAGACAAAGTGAAAGAGACGTAGAGTGATTAGAAAGAGACTGAGATAAAAAACCAAAAGAACGAGCCCAGAGAGCGATAGGCCGAGTTACAAATAATATAGAAAAAGAAGTAGAGTGAGACGAAATGTATAAAAAAGCAATAGGTGAGAAAGAGATTTATTGAGATCGAGAGAGAAAAGGGGAGATCAAAGAGCGAGAGGGTGAGATGAAGAAATATAGAAAAAGAAGTAGAGTGAAAAACAGAAGTAGAGAGGAAGAGAACAAATAAAAGATAGAGAAATATTTGATACAGGGTAATAACACATGTTAACACTGACTTACTGAAAATTTGGTTTAATCCTATTGCTTCCACTACACTTGACGTTTTCTTGTATTTGCATTACACACAGTAAAACCATGTGAACTTACCAAAAATTATAGTCGTGCTAAATATCGTATTTGATTAATATGCTAAAGACTTATGGTCACGTTGATTTTTAAAATAATGAAGAATACCAAATTCAAGTTTTCGGCATAATAGATAAAAATTTGAGTGCTAAAGAAACGTCCGTACGACTCCATGTGGAAGGGAAAAAATTCAAGTTTAGTTCCAAAAATAGTTTAGAATTACCTCTATGTACAGCTATAGATAACATTATACATTTAAAGTGTTTGTTTCAAGTGTATTAGTGAAGCAGTGCCCAATCCATCACAAACTGTTGTTCAGTTGTTCTTCGTCCAAGATGTTAACAACATTTCGTTTCACATTTGTTTTCTGTTCGCCTCGGACAAGGCCTGGGGCAGTTACAGATATCGGGTAATTTCTCTATACAATGAGCCGGCTGCGGAGGCCTCGGTCTCGGCGGGCATCTGACATTTCGGGCGCAGGGGTCATACGGTTCGTATGTCTTGGAGCAGGGATCGCATTCTCCAACATTTGGAGGGCAGGGTACACAATTTTCGGCTTTTTTGGCGCCGGAGTCGCATTCGTCGGCCTTTTTTACCGCCTTTTTTTCCGCCTTTTTTTCCGCCTTTTTTTCCGCCTTTTTGGCTTTTTTGGGGCTGGGAGGTTTCTTGGGGCACGGGCTGCACGACTCACGCTTTTCTGCTTTCTTCCCCTCCTTGCAAGAATCTTTTTTTTTAACAGAGCACAAAATGTCTTTCTTATTCTCGGGGCACGACAAGTTCTTAACTTTAGCTAGTAGATCACTGGTGCTTTTACAATGATTTACGGGGGCTGCGGGTTTAGGGCAACAATTATTGTTGGGCGGTTTGACGGCATCGCATTTCTTGAAGAAAAAACCGTACAAGCAATTTTTCAGCTGGTTCATCGGATTATTTTCGAGCGGTTTATTGATGCACTCGTTTTTCTGAGCCAACTCTTTTGTTTTGTTACAATTAACCGATCCCCTGGTCAACTTACCCAAGCCTATCCCCGTCAAAACTCTATTAATTATTTCCTTAGCCATTTCACACTTTCCTACTTTCAAGTAAGGTGAATTAGAACGCGATACAAAAAGAAAATAGTCTGAACTACAGGAATGATTCCATTGTGACTTTCTGTCTGCTTCTCTCTTGATCCTTACTCGAAGACTTATCGACCAGCCATAACGGAATTTTGGACCAAACTGTCTAGTACATGGTAACTAATAAAACTTGTGATCCATGTGTAAACACGCAATTTATTCACATGGCAAAAATTATTTAATTTATTTATTGAATATTATTATAACTGTATTTCATGAATTTTTGTATAATAAGATTATTTTAAAAACTAAACACAATAACGATCTTATAGAAATATTTCATATGACATGAAAGTTTATCAAGTTGAAGCTGAATATGTCAAACGCTAAATAACAAATCGTGAGCTTAGGGTTACACTCTTTTGGAAAGAAAATGCTGCTCATAAAATATATATCTACAGCAATAAACCGTCCACCACAGATGGTAATCCTTTAAATAAATAAATAATTACCGATTCAATACATGCTAAATTAAAATTGTTTCCGGCTCCAAACGACCTCAAATGTTGTTCTACTCACAGAATTTTAGGCAAAACCGTCGTGTCTTTTCCAAAAAGTGAATTGCCATACTCACATCAAACTATTTCTATATAGGACTTCAACTTTTTATTTTCCTTTAATTACCGCATATTTCCAACATAAATGCCTAGTTTTGTTTATTGTCTGGAACGAAAAACCAAATGAATATACGTTAAAACGGGCAGCCAAAATATATTTTTAGGGTGAATCTTTCAGTGAAATGGAAGCAACGGTCAATTTTTTCAACGACAGAGCAATTTCTCGTTTTGGCTGTGGACACGCAGAAAAGATATCCTCATTATTTCGGATGTACATTACACAAAAATAATTATATGAATGGAAGATATAAAACTTTGGTATCTAAGTACTGGACCTTGGTACAGGATTAATGACCCTGAAATTCTCTAAAATTTTACAATTAATACCAATACTCTGAATATAACAATATATTTTTAAAAAACCTGATCGACTTGAAAAATTTTCGGCCAAGGTGACAACCAACTTAAATGTTGGTTTCTTTTCTGTCAAATACAAATCATCAAAATCATTTTGACTTTTGGCTAATGAGTGATTTATTAGTTTCTAAAATGGCCTACTTTTAACATATGATCGCGTGAAATCTTAAATATAAAGTTCAAGTACGTATTATGTGACATCAATTGAAAAATCTTTGCAAACATCATTTCAGGGCCAGGGTAAGTTTTGCAAACGTTCTAATTTCTAAAATACATGTTTTCAGGCTAGACTGGAATTAGATCAGGTTTAAAATTCTCAGAAATCAGAGAATAATATAAGCAAAATCGATTAAAATCAGTGTTGTTTATGCTATTTCCTCGTACCTGAAGAAAACCCTTTATAGTGTATTCAACTATAAAATACCACCCAAAAATTATATTTGTTTATTATATACAATGTATCATTATAAAAGCCAGAAAGATTTTTGTTAAGTTATTCCTAATTATGGTAAATATGACACCCTCCGAACCTACCTTGATCCGGCCCTTTGAGGATAAAAATGCAATTAAAACATCAAAAATAAGTGGAAACGACGCAGATCCTCGGAGATTCTGAATGGAAGAACAGGGATCATACCCGACTAAGAATAGGACATGCGAGGTTGACACACGGACACTTGCTTTTGGGCCTTGTAGAGAAAGTTGATGCCGGATGTTGGTCTGCGAGTCGGTGAACTCATGCTGAACCGGCACTGGATCACTTATTAGGCCTGTCTTCACTCGCAGGAGTGTTGAACTATACAAATCGATCGCGTTTGAGTAGTTAAACAATCCCGCGAGTGAAGACGGTCTCAATAAGTGACTCAGTGCCGGTTCAGTAGAGAAAGGTAGCTCAATGTGTCGATCTTAATAATTGAAAGGTGGTCATGCCTTGGATCCTTATATAGAGCGAGTAGTATTTCTACATTTTTACTTGAATTTTACTTGACCACAGCACCTTTTTCGATTTTTGGAGGAAACAGGACTGTTTTATTGTATAGTGATATACGTCTTGTTCTATGTTCTGTTGAAATTGAATGTATTTATTGAAGTGAGTGTGCAATGTGAGAGGAAAGTTCGTAAATAGGAAAGCATTAAAGAATGTGCAAGACTAGGTTTAAAACTAAATGCATGAAATGACCTAGTTGCTGACAGCCCCTGGAGCCTAACTCTGGTAACAGGACGAATAAGACTGAGATCTGACCCTTGACTGCCAAAACCTTTGAAGAAGGCCATTCTCACTGCAAGCCGCGAGAAGTCATAAGCTCAATTCTGTACATGTTTGTTCTGCTCAAGAACGTTTTTTCAAGTCAAACCTTAATCTTGTATTGGCTTATTGACTTTCAAACTTCTAATTTTCAAAACTTGTTCTTGCAAAACTTGCACCATTGTTAAAAAAAAGTCCATAATCGGAACTCTCGGTTTTGGTTTAATTAGGGAGTGGGAGACAATTGTCTTTTCAAATCTGCAAATTTTGTCTGCAACAAATAAAGCTACATTCTCTTCAACCTCAAAGTGCAAAACTTTTTTTGCAAAAAAGTTTTTTACCCAACCAAACTGGCAAATGATTAAAAAAGTTTGACAATGGCAAAAATAAGATTTCCGTTTACAATGTATTTGTAATAACCTTGTGATACTTGACCATTTTTGGTCTGACTAGTTTCATAAGTCTAACATGAATGTTTTTTACATGTCATGTTAGAGACTAGAATAACCTACTGGATTTTGCAATACACATTTGTATAATAAGATTTTAATTTTTTTTAGATATCAAGAGGACAAGGAAAGTCAAAATGAATTCGGCAAAGGCTGTGCGAAATCTGCTCAGTTCCTGCTCCAACCAGAATGTCACAGTTTCCAGATACTTTGGCTCAGTGATATTGAACGACAACCCTGAGATGAGGCCAATCACGTTCCCTGCCAATGCCGATGATCTACCTCAATTTGATACGGTGCTGTTCGGTGTGCCAGGTCGTGGCGGTTGCAACAGCAACTGCAACAGGCCGCAGTGCCAAGAACAGGAACCCAGTAACAACAGCAATGGCAATGGCAGTAATTACTACCAAAACGACAACAAAATAACATGTCCACCACCACAGAGGCCGCCACAACCTACCCATTGCCTAAAGACCACTGCCTATCCTCCAAAGAACAAAAACTGTCCTGGGCCCTGCAAACGACCTGGTGGAGCAAACTGCAATGGGAAATGATAGATTTTAACCAATAAACACACTTTGTCACAAAATTCTTCTGCATTAGACAAAAATTCTTGTATTTTTAACATTACTTCTTATGTTTTGGGGCACATTTTTATACATTCATCCCAATTTATTTATCAAAGATCATAGAGATCTTATTATTTTTTTTCATGAAATAGTTTTGAACAAGGAGACTGTATTTAATAGAAGAATATAAAAATATAACACAGGGAATTATCAAGACACATAATTATATTAATTTTTCAAAAATAAAGAAAGACATATCACCAATAAAAAAAATCATGGATTGAATTTTTTAAAGATAATAAAAAAAATAAAAAAAACTAATGTTACTTTTTTGTCAGTCTGATAATTTTTTGTTCTTCTTTACTACTTCCTTCTTTTTAAATTTGATGAGAATGGTACAAAAACTTTAAAATATTCAGGCTTGAGTATAATATAATAGGACAAAAGAAGAGGAAGGAGGAAAAAAAAGGACTTGCTTAAATAATTATTGTTTATTATGAATTTTTTTTATTCTACTTATTAGCCAGCCTCTGTATACACTGTGCAGCTGCTTGATGTATCTTTGTGTCCAATTTGTCTGTAAAACAAATACATAATGAAAAATCTTAAGACAAAAACAAATGTCGTGACTGACATATTTTGTGTTTCCCTTTCATTGGAAAAAGTACTGGCGATGGTGTTGGATTCTCACATATGAATACAAATGGCTCATCAGATTCCCCGTATGGGAAATGTTCCCTATATTCTTCTTGTGCAAGGCAGTTTACGACATTTACAAATCCGAGAAGGCAACCTACTGGATACTTTGATGGAAATTTGACATTATCTGGAAAAACAATTATAATTTTGGCAAAAAAATAAATAAATTTTTTAGCAGCATTAACCTCCTCTAAGCTTTCTGTATTGGTCTTGGACCTCTTCGATGTCTTCTTTTGTAGGCTGTTTACCTGCAGCTGCAATCCAAAGTCGGCCTCTGTGCGAGGTGTACCAAGAACGTCCTTCATGTCTAATACACGCAAAATATGAGTAAAAATTTGTTATTTGTTCCTTATTATTATCCTTACTTTTTTATGCCAGCTACGAGAAGTGTGGCCCAGGGTTGGTGCATGCTCAAGCAAACACCCAAGTCTGACATCTCCAAGACTTCTTTGTCCTGGACTCTACCTGATGAAGCATGCCAACAAGTTCCTATCAATTCTTTCTGAGAAGTTGGTAAGTACTGAAATAAACAATTTAAAAATAAGTAATTCTTGTCAAAAAGGAGGGCTTAACTTCTTAACTACCCATTGGGTGTGTCAGAAATTCCTGTCAATTAAAATTTCATGGGATATACTGGGATTTGAACTGCTAGTGTGGCAAATAAGTCAGACAGTGTAACCACTAGGCCAATGCAGTCCTCCGAAATAAATAATTTACTTGCAAGGAAACAACTACTATCATGGGAAAATGAGGCAGAATAATAACAGTGTTATGAATTTGTTTTCCTTTTCATAAATCATCTTATTCCCCTCTTACTTGAAAGTTATTATTCAAGTGAAAAACAACCAGACTATTGAACAACAGAAAAACAAGATAAAAATTAAACCATTAAAAGTTGATATAATAAAAGAGGCCAACTCTTACAAGAAAGGCTATGTATACAGGATCAATGATCACAATGAAACTTTTTTTGGTGATTCTGGCTGAAAAAATACTATATACGTGTCCGACTCTACAGGTCAAGAAAAAATTTACATAATTAAAATACATGTTTTAAAATGTGTTTTTCTGTCTTTCTTGAGCTTGTATACCAGTACATTCATTATTTTAAGTAGGATAAGAAAATAATATGTAAGAATGGATTAAATGAAATTAGACATATAAAAAAATTTTTTTTCTTTTTTTTAAGGCCTTACAACCAATGATATAAAGAGTTAGAAAATCCAAAACATGGCCATTTCTCCATAAACTAAATTTTTCAGTTACTTACAATCGGTTCGATATACTCGGTGGATTTTGGGTCTAAATTATCATTTGGTACGTCTTTCACATTCATACTGTGCATCATGCCAGATAATTCTTCCAGAATGCTGTTCTCCTTGTTCAAAGTCCTAAAGTCATCATCGACAATGCAGCGGCCTAAATAATACATAAATTGCTTTTCACCATATCTCAAAATATTCTCTGTGCAATATTATTTATTAAGCAACAATTATAGCAGAATAAACCCATTAAAGGATAAAGTTAAGGTGTTAAGGTGCAAATTACTTTTAGTATTGATCATAATAATAAAATACCAGTGAAATCAAGAATCAAATGTTTGGCCCTGGAATGTTTTAGCGCTTGCAGTTCCTCTTCTTTCCTCTTAAGTTCCTCCCTCATCTCCTTCGGGAGCCAGACTGAATTTGTTGAAAAATAGTCGCTTTCATCATCAATGACTTTTGTCCTCTGCTCACTAAAAAAAAAAAAACATTATTTATAAACAGGCCAAACTAAACTTTGGAAATTAAACTGAAATACCTAGATTTGTCATATTCTAGAAGTCTGTCCCTAAGTTCCAATGCGCCTTCTAACGACTTATCAGATAGTGTGTTGTTGTTGGAGTTCTCGCCTCTACGATAGACCTGAAAAATATTTTAAGTATTATGTAGCGAGGAAAAAAAAATTACGACGATTTTTTACCATTTTGGAACAGAACATGCAAGGACCTGGACCCTCTTGCTCGCAAACTATCCTGCCGCATTTCAAGCAGTTGTTAATGAGAGAATGCTTCGAGGCCTGACAGTTGCACAAGTGACGACCTAGATTGTTTTTTTCTAATTAAAATTCTCTTTCAATTTTAAAACAGCACCAATTTTATAATTTTACCTTGTAAAAGGACAACATTATCATGGGAAAAGAAATTTACAAACTTTGTCTTCTTATCTTTGGTCTTCTGTTCTATGTCTTGAGAAGTTTCCTAATAAAAAGGATTTTGTTTTTCAATTATAATTAAATATTTAAAAACAATATTTAATAATTTAATTACTTGTGTTTTTTTCTCCTGTTTCTGCTTGACACCTTTTTTTTTACTTTTGTCTGTCGCCTTACATGTTTGTAAATAGTTGTCATACTCTTTCTTTTTATAACCTCGTGATATTACTAAAGATATGTATTATTTAGAAACAAATTGTTTAAATGCAAAAATCAAAAGCTCACATGACTGGCGTTTTGCAAGTAGATTCTGAACAAAGTTCTTGTGGTTCGGGTTTGTTAGGTCCAACAATGATGCTAGGTGCACCTCAAGATCTCTGGCTGACTCGATCAAGCATATATTGCTGTAAAAAAAAATTAACTTTGACTCTTCTGGGTCTGTCTACTCTATTGCCCATAGGGGAGAGCCTGACCACCTATCCCCCTGAATACACCCAAGTGGCGAAAGATATCTGAGAATGAACAGCTTTAATCAAAGATGTGCGTAGGGTGGTCTTGGACACAGTCTTGGATTCATCCCTTGAGATGGATGATCAGGATGGCGGTCGATTCGTTCGACACTTGAACGGCCAGTCTCATCTCTTTTATCCACCCAGAGAAACCATACCCCACCAAATGTGGGATAACAATGACCATGGACCAGCAAGGCTGGGGCTTGGGGTGCAACCTGAAAAGATGAGCATCACGTTCTCGTGCACTTTCCTTTCTCAAGCCAGGTCCTATGGCACATTTCCTTGAGACCTCTCCCAACCCCTGGATGTAAGGGGGGTTTCCAGGAGCAAAATAATGGTGTAGCCTTGAGGGCAGGGCATCCTCTCTAAAGTACAAGCTTGATTTGTATTGGCTTTCGGGTCAGCAGCGGATGGCAGGTGCTGGATCAGAGGCACACATGGGTGCACATCAGACCAGATCCTGTCTGCATAGGCAGGGGAGGGTGCATAATCATTTGAACTACAGGGTAGCAAAATGTTCCAATCTAATCCAGCTACATGGGAATGAACTCAAAATGGATAAGTAGTGAGGCTCCTGGCGAAAACTTAGTGTGAACCTGTTGCTCAGGGGTATCATTAACGGTTTCCATCTGAGTGCAGAGTTCCTTTAGGGGGTGGGTAGACATTCCACTATAAATAAAACAATGGTGGGAATGAATCTGTTAGTTCTTATGCTGGAGGAGCCCCAATACTCTGGAGAGAGAGTTGCCTTCTCTATCTAGGGAGCGAGGTGGGAGACTGGCTGATGCATTTCAGCCATTTCAGGTTTCCCTTTCCGGGCGGCACATGGTCTGGTGCTGTGCTTAATGCAGGCCCATCCACTTGCTATGGACAAGAGATGAGATTCGTCTCAGTCCCTGTCGTGTCTGGTGCGTCATCCCTCATCTTGAGAATCAAAACGTCCGATATGACTGAAGGGCTAGGTGTGGACATTAAAGATCCTCATGTCCTTTTAAGGGCTAATGAGTATAAACAGGAAAGAATGCCTACTCTATCACTGGTTTAGACGTCACTCCGCTTTTCATAAAAGGTATGGCAAAACTGATCATGTTTTACTCTGTTTAATACAATACTATTTTAAACTTAAAAAAAGGAGCATATTACATATTCGTAGACTTTAAAGCATCAATCGACTCTTTATATAGACATGAACTTTTTAGTAAACTTTTCGGTACGAGCGTCTCGAAAATCGTTATAAAAATTTAATGCCTTAAAAGGTGCAATAAAACTAGAACACAATAGATCTACTCAGATCGAATTGTAAGGAGAAGTTTGTTTATACATTGTTAGAATTGTTTATACATCAGGTAGATACATATATATACATAGTTTTATTATCAAAATGTTATAAAAATAAAAATATTTATATATAATGTTTATTTGTAATAATCCCTTACTTGACAACATCTTCTGTAACAACAAATGTCAGTAGTGATGATAGCTCGTTCATGACCCATTCTTTAAATTGCTGCTCGTCCATATTTTAAATAATTAATTAACTAGGAAATAAATAAATTAACTAGGACAAAACGTATTGGCCTTATCAAAGTGAAAACATGCCTGATTAGGTTTAACCATAGGGTCCTAAGTTACTAACGATACCTCAATAATATCGAAGTATCGATACTTTCTCTGCTATATGACTGAAACTTGACATCGATATTTTTTTGTCTCCGTGGAAGGGCATCCGCTTTCTCGATGCCTTCTAGCTTCTGCTCCCTGTCCCTCATGTCCATCAACAGAGGCTGACTGTTTTGCAAACCTAATTTGTTTAGTTTGGTTTTTGCATTAGCTTATGGTGTTTGAACGCTTATGGCATGGCTATCTGAAATGATAACTATATTTTTGGTTTTATACCCTTTGTTCAGATTGAACTAGGTATATCTCTCGATTGTATGGACCTCAGCTTTGAAGATACTGGTGTATTTTCCCATAGGTTCTGAGTTTCCAACTGAGTAGTTCCAGGATTGAATTCTTCTGCCCCTGTACCTTCTTGCGTTCTAAACTGCTCAGAAATGAATAGGGATATTGCCAATTTTGTAGTATTTTGTCCCCTGTTACCTAAAACCTCTGTGCATGTTAGGCATACTGTTTTCACTAAATTCATAAGGAATTTCACTCCATAGATGTTGCAATGCTTGAGGTCTGGAGATAACGGGAAATTCCCAGATTTTCTAAATGTTGATGAACCACTCTGTTTCTATGAGGTCTGGCATTGTCATCAAAAAATGGAAAATCCTTGCCAGTGAGATCCCTGATTTCAGGGCTATATTCCTCGATAATTTCTTGCATTATGGTGAGGTTGCCTTCAACAATATGAGTTCAGTTCATCCTCTAGGAGTAAATCCCAGCCCAGACCACTACACCACCTCCTCCAAACTGCATTGAAGGGAGCACGAACTGGGGCATTGTATGCTTCCCCTGTTCTCGGTACTCTTCGGCACCTTCTGTCACTACACAGACAGAAACACAAATTCATCAATAAACATAATAGCATTCCAATTGGTGGTTCTCTTCAGGGTGCTCACTGTACCATATTCTCCGTAGTACCAATATTTAGGAAATATATTATTATTATCAGTAGATGGAGTCATTCCTAAAGGAGGCCCTTTTTTTCCCCCCATCTTGGTACCTAAGTTTATTTGGAAATTTTGGTTAAACTTGAACATCTGAACGGGTCAAATATTAATTATAACCTTAACCTAAATAAGTAGATGCTTACAAAGACATTACTGTCCAAAAACCTGGATCAAAGCTGAACAAGAGATCCGTAATCAAGAAGAAAACAAGAAACATGTGTAAAGCTACCCATCCTTGGAAAGATCATCCTATCCCAATTTGCATTTACTGGCAATCATGCCACCCACCAAATATATTTTTGCAAAAAAAAAAGTCAAAGGGTTAAAAAAATATTGTAGTGGAGTGGCTTACCTTGTGACAGGCCTTAGGAAGAAGCATGAAGAAACGAGGAAGAGCAGGCCATGTACAAAAATATCAAGCAGGAGGTTTTCATAGATCCATCCAATGCTCCTTGTCAAAGAGACCAAGTATAAAATCAACCAGGCCAAGTGTGATTTCTTTTCAATATCTTCCGTTGAGAGTCCTCACAACAAAATCCTTGATATAGAAGCCCATAGCTGTATGATTTCAAATTAAATTTAACCAAAGAGAACAAGCTAGAAAGCATTTGGCTAGATCATTTGGTATGATTCATGTTAGATGGAAACCTTTTGAGCATAAAATGGTTAAGTTCATCATTTTTGTACGTTTTCAATGAAATCCTTTTAAAAAAATTACATACATAATAAAACAATAAGAGAAAAACATAAAAAATATTCCTTTATTTATATATTCCAAACAATTTCTCTAGATTTCAAATGGTTTCAAAGGGTCTTTGAAAAAGAGATTCTGGAGTGTTTGTGACGGCGATGACAGCGTTGTTGATCCGATGATCACTTCTTTGTTGCACCCTTTGAAACAGTCTTTTATATACTTGACTTCCTGTGCTGTGACACCTCCAATCACATAGATCATGATGATATCATTGTCCATGACATGAGGCTTTGCCACGTTCAGAATCATACTGCTGCAATGTAAAACATAAATAGAAAGATTTTTTTTTTATTTTAATGAGTTTTTTTAACAAATACCTGAACCGTGAGGTGAAATTGTCTTTCATGCTCATATTAGCTTTGTATTTTAAATCTGGCATTTCTGGTTTATTTGAATCAACTATATCATACATTAATTGACTGATTAAACTCCTGTACTCTAAAGGTTGAGACCTACCATGATTTGCAGCTATTTCACTGAAATAATAACAAAATTGTCATTTTTGTAAAAAAAGAAAAAAAAATTTAAAAATTAAAAAAAAAAATAGAACATACTTGTATTTAGTAAAATGTTTTCTTGCATTGCGTATTGAATTCAGCTTTGTAAAAAAGTTTCGAGTGAATTCCCTGACTTTGGCTTTTTCAAAAGATTCAAAATGAGCTGAAAGACTTCCAATGTTTTCTTTGTCTTTTTCGATTGCGTTTGCAACCACTTCTTGCAGGTCTTCGGCAAGGCTCGCCTGTATGGTGAACTGTTGTCCGACAAGGCTGTAGAAAAAGACGATCAATGACAAGACCTTCTCAACCGTCAGACCTCGCTTTTTCCTCATCACCATTATCTCCTTGAGCTGAACGCATATTTAAACATAAGAAAATAATAATAAAGAAAGTTTGGTTTTTCTGAAACGCACCTGAATAAGAGCGTTGTCCGTGCTGTTATCAGCAGATATCGACTGATAAAGGAGCTTCTTGAGACTCTCGACGACTTCCAGGGAATTAATTTCATTTGAATTTAACGTCTCGATAACACCAAGAGAAACCTGAAAATCTCTACTCATGCATACAAAATTCTAACGTCTATTCGTTAGATAATGAAACGCCAAACTGAGAAAAATTACCTACACACCAAAATGAAAACATTTATTCTTACATTTCTTGAGAATTTGATTTATTTTTTTATTTTTATTAATTCTGTAAGCTTGTCCTTCTTAATATTAGTTAGGTAAATAATAGTGCTGTAATTGTTAATAGAAGGCCACACAATGTAAGAATCTTTTTTTGAAATGGTAAAGTGTAACTTTGACAGGTCGACCCAGTAGGAAACAAAGGAACTTTTCCGGAAAAAAAAAAATCAGATCAGAAGAAGTCGAGTCCAGTGAGGTAGACCGACAAAGAGAGTCAAGACCAGAAAGATTTTAAACCCGAGTAAAGAGAAGTATGTAAGAAGTTATAAGAAATACCAGAAAGCTTAATTGATTATATAAATGCTTTACGAAGTATAATAAAAGCAGATAAATGTATACTCGGAGGCTGAATAATTAAGTTGGTGTGTGAGTAAAAAATAAACGTTATTTTTTATAATACCTGAATCAATCCGCTGTTAGGTATGATTTTGTCTTTGAGGTTATCTTTAAAATTTTCGCTTATCGTCTTCAAAAGTTGTTTTGTGTCGAGTCGTTTTGGAAAATCCAACTGACACTCAGCATACAGTCTTTCATAAAGTTCTGTTATCGTTTCGACCTGTTTTTTCATAATTAGCCACTCGAACAAGTCTGTTTTAGGGTCGTGGAGACACCCTGGAGCATTCACCCAACCCGTGTTTGCTTTCCTGTTTTCATTTAAATAAAACATCAATTTAACTATTTCTCTCTTTTTTTATTTATTTATTAACTAACATTTTCGTTTTACAGATAGGAGACATGTCGATTGCAACGTCGATACTATGACCTGGAAAAGGTTCAAGAATAGATTTCATCTTATCGAGGAGGACTTGGTTGTTTTGATACATGGCGTCACAGAGGTCCAAAGTGCGATCAATCAACACAAGAGACATGTTTGACGAAGCCGTCTGTAAAAATTGCATGAGTGTAAAACAATATAACTAACAAAAGAGATGACATACTTTAAGCCTGAGAGCACTCGGAGTGTGCTTTTGCAGCGATGAGCCAACAAGTGAGCTCAAAAGACCAATGCAGTAAATGCTTTCCCTAACTGAAAGCTGCGACAATAAACTATTTATTGTAGTCATTAGGTGTAAAACTCCAATTTGAAGTTCTAACGGAAGTGCTTCAAGATCTAAATTTCTCGGCTAAAAAATAAACCAAATCAATTTTTTTTCTTGTTTTAAATGTTATTGGTTTACCAGTGAGGAGTATATTGTTTTTCCTTCAAGGTCCTCGCTGAAACAAGGCATAAAATCGCTGAACGGAGGAGTTGTGAAGAAATAATCCGTTACAGGTACAATCGATATCGGGAAGTGAAATATTTCAGCAGTGTAGTTCTAAATGAATATATATTTTATTTAAATTAAACAACAGAATAGATTGTTTTTATTAACCTTGTCTTTCATCCAGCGTAGCATGTCAAGTTCCAATTTGTGTACGGCTGTCATTTCATGAGCGTTTTCCGGTACGTTGCCAGTTGTCGCCACATTGAGAACGACCGGGCTGCACGATGTTATGAGTATGCAATGATTAAACTTGCTGTTTGATATCAAATCCCTCAAAACGATCCTTGCCGGCCCTACGACCGGGCTGGAAACAAGGAACACACCTTTTTCGATGTCACCTCCACTCTGTAATTGCTTCAATTAGCTCGTTAAACTTTACCTAAATTTTAATTAATTAAACCTCGAAGGACGAAAATTCCCTGATGCATGATGCTCCATGCTTCCAGAGTAGTGCGACTCCACCGTGCCAGCTCAGGCATTCGGCGGACGCTTTGTCGACAAATACAGCAGCGCCTTTCACCTTTTTACACACCTCGTGCCAGCAGTTTTCACTTATATATCTCAAATTCAGAACCATTTCACAGTAGTTCCTGAAAAACATACTGCATTATGGAACAACAATGTCAAAAATAAAATATTTAACACCTTATTTTTTAAAAATTCCAAAATGCAAACGCCAAACAATATCACATACATAGCCAGCTTAAAGTTATTTATAATTAAAACATACTTGAAATTCTCATTTTTTTTTCACCTTTTCGTTAAAATCCCTTATTGTTAAATATTAAACAAATTTATTATCTCTTATCATACCAAAACCTGGAACGATATAACCTCACAGTTTGTCTCATTAAATGGTTAACCGACAATGAGTATTACTTTTCATTGAAAAAATTCAAAAATTTATTTAAATTAAATATTTATTTATTTATATAGGTTGATAGCCTGATTCACAAAAATAAATAGGTATAAAATAATTATAAAGGAAACATAAAATGTATATTTGGATTTGGATTAAGATTAACATTAGATCAAATCTGTACATGTACATATACACACACATGGCCAAAGTTGAGCATATTACTTCTCGAAATCAACTGGTAATTCCACCTTTTATAATTTTCAGTAAATTACCAGCAGGCTTCAAGAATCACCCTCCTTTGCTGTTGGCAGTATGGCCTCAGACCTTGATCTTATCTGTCCAACCACTGAGGATGGGTTCCAGGTGCTGTCAACAGCTAGGTCATTTCAGCACCTAACAAAATCAGTTCATAGATCCAAATCCATTCATTCTTAAATACATTCTTTCTTATTTACATCCCATTCATTCAACTGGTATGGTATGGTTTTAATACTGGTAATAATGGTATTCATACTAGAAGCGGGGTTTGTGCTCCCCAGGCACTGCAGCCTTCTGGCTTATTGTACCTTCCGAGTTCCATAGTTCAGTGCAATAGACTCAATTCTTCTTCTTATAAGTATTAAGTCATTGACTGTTGCTGCTACAGTTTCATTCCCTAGGTTTTTCCTGTATGCTAGGTTAAAGTTCCATTGAGCTGTTGCTTCGCATTCGAAGATGATAAGGGTGGATGTTTCCTCCTCCTCATTACATAATCTGAAGATGGAATCATCATTGTATATGCCCATGTTGTGTAGGTGTTTTCTCAGATCCCAGTGACTGGTTAATAGTCCTATCACTCGTCTGAGTTTAGCCCTTTCCAATTGCTGCAGTGAGTTTGCCAGTCTTGGTGAGGGTTGTTTTATCACAGGTTTACTGTATCTAGCGCCGCTAGAGTTTATCCACTTGTTTATCCACTTCTCCTTTTGTTTTATTTGGATCCATTCTGTGATGGAGGATTCTGTATTTGTTTTTGTTATCCCAAGTATAGGTTTGGGCCCAGTATGGTCTTGCAAATCCTCCTCTGATCAGACTGTCTGATGACTGAAATTTCCTCTGTATCCTGGCACCCAAGATATCATCACGTTGTTGTGTTTCAACACTCATCTGGTAGTATAGTCGGTATTCCTCCATCACCCTTACATCTAAACTGCTCAAAAATGAATAGGGGTACTGCCAATTCTGTAGTATTTACTTTCCCTAGCATTTTTATTTTATTGCAATAAAATTTATTAGAAATTATTTTTTTTTATTGAAAAAAATTTAATTAAGGGATTTTGAAAAATAAGAAAATAAAAGGTGACAAAATTGTGTATAATTAATTAAGCATAGGTACAATTAAGAATAATTTGATAAAAAAACAATAAAAATTGTTACTATTCTTAAATAAATCCGTTATTAAAAATGCGGATTAACATTTGCTTGTTTTTTATTTTGTTTTATCCAACTAACAAGAATATATCGGTTAATTTAATTAAAATTAATAGAATATGAATAAATTACAAATATCCCTATTCATTTTTGACCAGTTTATTATATAAGTAACCTAATTGAGGGTCGATGAGGTACTCAATATTCTGCCATCAACCCTCTCACACTAAACCTTCATGCTAATAAATACATTCACTCTTATGTTAAGGACACAAAATCATATAGGCAGAGCAACCCTCGTATATCCTTCAATAATTGGAACAGAGGATCCAGATATTTACAACTATTTTAAAGTACCATTCTCACCTGCATGCTCCCTAAATGGAGCCAAGGAATTGCACCTCTCAATCTAGTGGGGCACGATACGCAAGAGTCCCTTGTACGTAAGTTAAGCGTATCGATACTCCCATGATACGATAGATCGTATCAGGTTGTAATATTTAAAACAGTGTTATAACCTACTCGCTATTATCTGTAAAATATCTTTGACAGTGCGATTTCCCGGATGGTTTTTTAAAAAAAGAATTCTAACGTTCATTTTCAATTAATAACAGTTGCATTTTTAGTTATATATAAGTTTTTATGAAAATCGCGGAACAAAAGTGACTGCAGCCGGGTTGCCGTCTTAATATCGCGTAGGCATTGACTCGAAGCGTTGTGTTTTGAGATTATCGGATTTTATTTTAAGTTTAACCAGTAACCACTTTAAAACTTTGAGAACCGTTTATTAAACTTTGCTGGCCCTCTCTCGTTCAGAAAAAAGTCAGCGTGGTTTTTTTTTTAAAGTTCGACCCCAAAGTAAAAGTGCTTAGGTCCGGGAAAGGCTGATATCGCGAGGACGGAAGTCGGTAAAACCCGGATGGTCGTTTTAAAGGATATGGATTTTATAAGAAACGATTCTGCTTGAGTGTAAAACTAAGGTATTGTAGGGAGAAAAAAATATAGCGGGAACAATAAAACAAAACAAAACAAAGTTGTACTGAAAAAAGTACAAAAAAAGGCTTTGTCGGCAGGAACGATGTGGCACGAAGTCAGAAAACAGGAGAGGAAGATAAGATGCATGATTGTAGACTACAAAAGAAGAGCCGAAAGGAGGAAGGATTACTACGAAAAAATTGTAAGACTTTCTTTATTTTTTTCTTTCTTTCTAAGTGTAAAATTGGGTAAAGTTCTCTTCTATGGTCCGTTGTAAAACCGTATCAACAGTTGTACTGCACTTGCAGACAGTAAATTATAACATTTATTGCATAAAAAAATAAGGATGTTATTAGCTCACTTGCCATTTTTATTTTTCGTTTGATTTTAGAAAGCTGATCCCACCCAGTTCCTCCAAATCCATGGAAGGCCGTGCAAGATCCACCTGGATCCAGCGGTAGCCATGGCTGGTGACAGCCCGTTAAACATGTAATTGTTAAAACACACACTGCATCTTCAGATTTTTGAAAAGTGGTAATATAAATTTTTTCCCTTGCAGGATGCCATGGCAAGGTAGCCCTGATGTTATAATCGACCGATTCGATGTGAGGGCACACCTCGACTACATCCCCGACACGCCGAAGGAGCCAGAGGGCAGACTGTCATACGAAGACAGACACATAAACTATGAAAGATATCGAATTTTAGTCCAAAATGACTTCCTTGGAGGTATAAACTGTCACTTTCTCTCCCCAAAGGCACCCCAATCTTTCTGGATATAACGGCTCAGTAAATGTTCACAGTGAGAACAATAAATCACATTTGTGATTATTATTTTTTTCTTAAGGAAAAGAGACAATTATAAAGAAAAAACACTTATGAGAAATGGAGTAGAACTTTTTTCTCTTTTAACAATGTGTAAATCGTCGCTTACTCGTCCCTCATAGCATGGTGTTTAATAGTCATAGCCCCAAGGTTTTTTTTCTTTTTTTTTTTCTTTAAATCTTGGTCAGGAAAAAACTGTGTCTCGATTGGCAAGTAAGCGGCTGCCCAGAGCAAACAAAATTTTTGGGTTAACAGCTCAAAAACTGGTTTCAGTTGGGGAAGAAAAGTTCCTACACCAGTTGCATCTAGAAGAGCAGTTCGGTGCGGTTTCACGCTCATCGGATGTGCCAATCGAAGGTAAAAAGAAAGTACCAGGGGCGGCGATCGGCTTCAATTATGACGACCCAAGTGCACCCCCTTCCTCGTACGTCCCAGAACAAAAGGAAAACGAGGAAGAAGAAGAAGATAGTGACATTGATTTTGGTAAATTTCAGTTTGATGTTTTTTGGAATTTTTTATTTTTATTTAATTTTTTGTTTAGATGTATGTATGGATGTCAATAAAGTCTCGACACAACAAGCCCATGAACTGAACACATCAGCCCAACCTTACGGGATGGAAGGAAACGATTTTTTCAGTTTCCTCACCAAAGACAGGGAAGAAGCTGACAATTTGAAACTGGTGAAAGAACTTGAAGAAGAAAAGGCTATGTACTCTGTAAGTTTTTTTATTATTATATTTATTTATATTGTTATTAATGAATATTTGTTTTAATTACTTGATCACATTTTCAGGGTAGGAAATCAAGGAGAGAGAGACGAGCCTACAGGGAAAAGAAACTAGCCGGAAGAGTGATCAGCCCTCCAAGGTATGTTAATTATTATTATTGTAAAGAACACGTTCTAAATTGAAATTATTTCAGTTATGCATCCAGAAAAAGCCCTACGTACCGTGATTACAGAGATAGTAAATCCAATTCAAGGTCTCGATCACCTTCGCCGATGAACTCGGGGAAAATTACTTATATTACTAGTTTTGGCGGTGAAGAGTCCAGTGGTACTCAGATCAGCCCGAATCCAAGAAGTGCCTTGTAAGTGTTGTGATTGTGATTTTTCCCATAAAACAAACTTACAATGTAAATTTTTATTTAAACTTCTTAAATTTTTTCAGTGATTCTCATCAAAGCTCTAGGTATGTCATACATTACATTTTACATTTATTTTTTAAATATTTTTTTATAATGTTTTTGATACAGGCGCAGGTCAAGAAGCAGTTCTGTTGGAAGGTATCACAGCAGAAGGCGATCTCGGTCGCGAAGTCATTCAAGAACAAGGTCACGATATGGATCGTCTTCAAAACACAGTTTGTCTAAAACAAAATGGTCCACAAATCATTCTTCTTGGTGAGATATTGATTTATTTATATTATCACTTTTCCCTTTTATTATTAGAAACAAAAAATCATTCAATTTTATAGATAATTGTTATTTTGATTTTTTTGGTGTTAATTGTTTTACATTTTTAGGCAATCTCGAAGTAGGAGCAGATCAGTGTCAAGAGACAGAAGTCCTCCAAGGTACAAAAATACAATTTAAAAAAAAAGTTTGACCTGTTGTTATTTGTATTAATTATTTCAGGCACTATCCTGTTAACAAGTCAAAAAGCCGATCGCCACCAAAGTAAGTGATAAGTTAATACCATTCTAAGTATAAGTATTTATTTTAAAATATTGCTTCAGGCCTTCAAAACCCATACAGCCTAATTTTGAACCTCTTGTGAAACAACCACCAGCTCCGATTATTTCCAGGTAATTAACAAATTAAAAAGAAAACTTCATAATTGTAATTTCAAATTTTAATTCAGGTATTATGGAAGACGAGGAGCATCTTCATCCTCTGAGCTGTCTGTTTCGGATGATGAATCGATGATGACTACGCCGAAGAAGGAAAGTTCAACAAGTGTTTCCAATCAGTTTGAAAAGTATGTTTTTGACATTATTCAATCAGCAAGATATTTTCCCTAGAGGGCTCCACACGATTAATAAAGACGTAAAAGCCTGTTTAGACAACTTTATCAGCTGTGCTCACTCGTCTGTTTTTCTTTCCAGGAAATCTGGTGCCGTTTTTGGTAATACGAGTAGCAGAAACAAAGTCAGTAAGAATCAACACTCATTTTCTCTTAAAAATTATGAATTTAAACAAAAATATATAGTTCTCGCTAATGTTTATAGTTTTATGTTTTAAATGTTGAACTATTTTTTACAAGAAATAAGGTAGTATCAATTTTTTGTTTGTTTGTTGTTTTCTTCTAACTAAGAACTAATTCTGTTTATTCATAACAAAAAATGAAATAAAAAAAATCACCAAAAATTAATCTCTCTTCAAAAGGGAGTTTCTTGATATACAATATTTTTGAACTTTAAACTAGCTGTGATAATTTGATTTTTTCAATGCCTAGAATTGTTTTGCATTATAAACTTTTGTATTTATACATTTGCAGGTTATCTATAAAAGAAATTTAAAAAATAAAATATTACCAACAATATGAATTGATAGTACAAAGTATACATGTTGGATTAGGTTGTAATATTTGAAATAGCCTCATAACCTCCTTGTGTTGAGCTTTCAGGAACTTTTTTTAATGTTTTTTTTAAAAGATGTATAAAACCTATTAAAAAAAAAAGTCGGGGAATGTCTGTTCTTCCTTCGAAAGCTCTTTTGTGGAGTAATTGTTTGGTCATTTATCTGAAAAGCTTATATTTCGCGCAGGATCCAAAAGTTTTGAATGCCTGTTTCTGGTTGGTAAAGCTCTATTTATCGGTTTAGAGAGTGAGTCGCAAACCAAGCAAATCATAGCATGTCATGCTGGATTGTAAAAAATCATTTTTCATGAAGTTTCTGGTCATGTTCATAAACAAATTTACTTAAACAGAACCCAATATGTGGCACAAAAGTTACACGTCTGGTTAGGTTGAAATACTTGCAACAGCCTTATAACCTCCTCAAGTTGTATATCCAGCTTATTGTTTTCTATTGGGTTTGTTTGAAAATTTTCCCTTTCTTTGGATTTGTTGGGTACGATTCATGATGATAGAACAAATACAAAACAACTTGGAATATAAAGTTAATATTCTGCAATGTTATCGTCATTTTATTTTAAAACTCCTGCTGTGGATCTTCTCCAGCTTGGCTGCTGTTTAATATTCTTTTTTACAGGGAGGCAGACAAAATTTTTGTTTTTTATTTATTTATTTTTATTTTTATTATTTTTTTCAAATTCGAATAGAGGAGGAGTTCCCTTTGGTAAAGGAAGACGCAAGCAGATTGTTATGTTGGATTGTAAAAAAACAAAAGCACAAACTTTTCATGAAGTTTCTGATCGTTTCATAAATAAATTTATTTAAACATTACCCAACATTTGTCACAAATATTTGGTCAGGTTGTAATACTTAAAACACCCTTATAAATACCTTTTTCATATATAAAGGCCGAATTTCTATGCATTAAAAGTCTTCATAACGTGCATTAAAAGCCTTGAAATGTCCAAAACAACAAAAACATGCAAAAAACGCTCTCAAAATTGTGCAAAAAATTGTATCAAAGATAAAACTCCCATTTAATTCAGTAAAAATTTTATCTACCTAATAAAATTAATTGTTTGATGATTGATTAAATCCATTTTAAAACACAATATCAACTGCACAATTATATTTTATACTTAAACTTTAAAATATACAACTAGGTAGAAAAAAATTATGTTGTGAAATTTAATATAAATTAAAAATATATTTGGTTATTTTCCTTATAAAGTTAATTTTATTTGTTTTCCAAAGTTTTGTAGTGTGAAATAAAATTGAAAACAATGATTCAGCATCGTAGACCCTCCTTGCACACTGAATTACAGTTTAGGACCCTTACCTGAGGAGTATTACAAAAATTTGGCTACCATTTATTATAATTTTTTAGTGTATTATGCTCATTAAAATAAAAAAATAGTGTTTACAATTTTACTTTTTGTAGGTATATTTTTTGTTTTATTAAAGAAAAATAACCAAAAAAATATATTTATTCATAATTCACACAAAAAAGTATATTTAGAGCAATATTCATTTGCTGCATCCATGTTTAGAAGTTTTTCAATTTCAGAATTGTAAAAACAACATTCATTTCAACTATCATAAATCAAGCATTTGGAACCTTGAGCCAGTTACTTATTGGATAGAATCATTGAATCCCAACAGCAGTCATGCAAATTTGTTTTTCATTAAACTAAAAATAATTTCAAGATCATTGACAGTAGGATTATTTTGCAAGTAGTGTTAATTGGCAAAAATTTAGAATTTTTTTTTTAACAAATTCACTCCTTTCAAATAATTTTCTTTTTGTGTTGGTTCATTGATTCAAAATAAAGCGACATCGAAACGAAAAATTCAAACGTATTTGAACTGGAAGAATTTTAACTATATTTTTTCTGGAAATTTCTGGAAACTGATTCCATTAGATTTTGTGTGTTCTTTAGAATCAACATGTTGTTAATTCCAGGCTGTTGCTTCGTCGTCCTCTTCTGGGCCAAAGATCACACCGCAGGAACGGCTGAAGAAGAAGATGCAAGCATTACTCAATAAGCAATGTTATTATTATTATAACTCGATGGCTTTTTAAAATGCATTTGCTTAAAATTTATATCTTTTTAGACAAAGCTGATAAAAGAGCTGAAAGGGAAAAGCAAGAGAAGGTTGAACAAGAACGCCTTGATAGGGAAGATGAAATGAGGGAGATTTCCATAAAACTGAGGAAAAGGTTGTTTTTAATCAATTTTTCTGCTAATTTTTGTTTAAATAATAATTTTGAAATTTTTCAGAGAGAGAATGAGAAGGCATGAGTATCTTGCTGAATGCGACAGGCAGAAATCGTCGTCGTCTTCGAGATCTAGGAGTAGGTCGCGAAGTCGTAGTCATTCACCAAGATGGTAAAATGTCACATACTATTGATTGTTTCCTTTGTTTTTTATTGTTTGTTTTCACATTAGCCATGAACGAAGAAGAAGATCAAGGTCAAAATCGCATTCACCCAGGTCATATCAATCCAGATCGCATTCGACCAGTCCCACTTACTCACCCAGCCATGCTTATAGGTATTCAAGAAATTTTTAATCTCCTTGGCAATAGTAATGATGTTTTTTCCTTTCTATTTCAGGCCACTGGTTGATTACTGACTGGGAAATTACAGACAATGAATTAACAATCATTTATTTGTACGAAAGAGGCTACATATATAATTTGTAAAATTAAACTAATAACTTTTTAAACTTTCTGATGTTTGTTTGTGTATATAATTAATATATGCGTTTGCTTATTATAAACTTGTGTTTCAATTATTTTTTATGTTATCAGATCTGAGAAAACATGGGGTAAATATAACACCGACCCTCTTCTCATGACTTAACAGATTAGGGCATATTTGCCATGAGAGAGGGTTCTGGGTTTGAATCCTGACATAACCCTTTCATTTTCAGGAAGGTTAGGAGCAGTTTTTAAAGTGTGCCTTGGTGCCGGACGCTATCATAAGCTTGGGTCACATGAAGGAATGCACCTAAGTAATACACTATTTTCTAGAGCGGAGGAAATGGTGTCAATGACTCAAAAATTTTCTTGATCTTAGAATAATGGAAACAGAAATCGAATTGATGAGAAGAAATGATTCCATGGGAAAAGGATGTCTTTTGATGATTTTGGATATTACAGGAAGAAGGATGATATGTGGTTGGGATGTTTGTGAGCTTTAGGAATGCAAATGACTACCACTTTGAACTAATGAACACTACCATAAAAAAGGAAAGGGAGTGGTATGTAGGATGGTGTTTTATATAGTAAAAATGCTATGACTTTCTGAGGAGGGGAAATATAAGTAAAAGTAATTAGGTCATATCCAGGGATTTTTTTACTTTGGGATTTGCTGTGCAGTACTTCAGAAGGATGGAAAGTTTGGGAGGAATATGAGGTAGTGGTAACCAAGGTTATGCATTACTCGTGCATAAGTTGCATAATTTAAATCTGGGTGCGGAGTAAAGGTGGATTCCAAATAGGTTGCTAATAGATTTATCTTTGATGCCCCTGATCAAGGAAAAATTGATGGTTTATTTAATTTAATCATTTAATTATGTCAGTTTTCTTAAAGCTGTCGTGTCAACAATATTCAAGATTGAATAATATAAATTAAAAATGATCTCAAATGACGATTCTATTATTAATTAGTTTTAACAACACGGCACAAATTCATGTGTGCGTTTATATATCTGATAATTATGTAAATTAATTAATCGTTTTTAAGGTTTTTATATATTATTATTTGGAAATCGTGAGATGCGGTCTGGTATGGCATAGGTTTCAGAAAAACATTTTCTTTATCGTGCCAACGTTTCGATCTTTATTGAGATCATCTTCAGGGCCTGGGATTTACAAACATTGTTTGAGTAGAAATACTTTGATTGAATATAATTTTTTTTGGCATTGTATAAATTATTTTTTCCACATCCTACGTGTATTTGTTAAATGTAAACAATGTTTGTAAATCCCAGGCCCTGAAGATGATCTGAATAAAGATCGAAACGTTGGCACGATAAAGAAAATGTTTTTCTTGAACCTACTTCACACCAGACCGCATCTCCCGATTTCCAAATAATCAAAGACTAACGGTCACTAATCACCACACATTTTTATATATTTTTAAAAAATAATTCAGTATTGAATCGGATTGACAACCTGAACTGACATCACGTTGACATCGTGTGCATGTGTAAATGTTTCAATGGTTATTTTAAAGTAATTCAATACCTTTCTCGAGGTATGATAAAAAGGGGCCACGGGCATGACTGTGAGATGTGGGCTGCGTACGTTTGCATTTATAAACTAATGAATAGAGATGGGCTTGTCCCACCTGAAGGGGAGTCGTCTCCCTCTAAGAATGTAATTTCCCAGCACGAGTCCCTCGGGAGATCCCTCCGGCATCCCTCTTCACTCTCCAATGTAAATGATGTCCCTCACACGCTTCCTCGGACGTATTTTACTATCCGAGGTGTCCCTCTTAAAGCCCCTTCCCTGAGACAGGCACGACCCTCGGAAAACTTGTCGGCGAATTTCCTTTTGTTGTAAACTTTTACGGAGGCGGGCGTAAAAATGAAAATTTCCCCCTTGTTCAAGAAAAGCGGACAATTATTTTGAAAAGGGGTGAGACTGTAAAAAGAGATGGGATGAAGTAAACATAGCTTGTCTGATGGCTTAGGCGTTCCCTTAAAAATTAATACGTTAATTTATTTAACAAAAATTAATTAAACGTTTATAAAATTTGATTAAACATCAGAAAAAAAGTACTATAAAAGGACCCACAGAAAATCAACTTATCACATATTATATTGCACCATAATTAATTATTTATAAAGAATGAGAGAAATAAAATGGTACAGACCCTTTTCACTTTATTTTTAGTACTTAACTATCGTTTTGCGTCAGGTTTTAAAAATTGAAGATGGCGAGAAGCAGAAATGCATTTGATACCGAATGATCTGAAACGACCAAACTGTAGGACCATCACTCCTCAGATCCCGTGAAGAAATCTTACAATTCAATTTTATGTTAAGATAAACAACAAAGGACGACCAATAAAAAAAATATATCCTTCAATTAATTAAGGTTTTTAGTTGAGACAAAAAAGTCAGTGTCACAAGCGGGATTCGAACCCACGATCTTCGGCTAGATACGCCGCTGCTCTACCACTTGAGCTATCGTGACTTCGATCCACTCGGACACTAACTTCCCATCTCAATCCCTCCTTTTATTATAGGAGAAAAATTATAACATTCACGTTTTGAACTACTCTCTCGTTAGATTAAATTAGATTATATAGGAGCCGGCCTCTTTACGACCTGTGCACCGCGACCAGTATCGGTCTATTCTGCATCCCCATTTTTTTAAAATCTAGAACTCCTCGTTAAGCTTGAGGCTTTTCACCAGACCCTAAAGCTTTTACAAAGGTTCCCGTGTTTATCCTTCAGGCCCTGGCTTTTCCTATCGAAGGATTAAGAATCTCAACCTACATAGGCCTTCGCACCAACAGAGGACCACTGTTTCTTCTTCCTTTGGAGGGCCTGTACCACCGACTCTCTGAACTAGTGGGCTGCTCCTCTCCGGGTACCTGGAAAGTGTTTACCAATTGACATGGACAGAGTTTTCTCTGTTATCTCTGTAAAAGTACCATCCGGTCTTCGAGTGAAGCCTAACTGTCCCAGTACCTTCTTTGGCCAACACTATGAATTCTGACGCTGTCAGGAGCTTTTCCAACCTCCTGGTAGAACTTCCTCCACGAGTTTCTTTTGGCCTTCCTTATCTCTTTATTGTACTGGGTAAGTATCTTTTATATGAGCCCCGTGTTTGGTCGTGCTTGGTTTCATTGAACAGCCTTCTTACCGTTCTCCCATTTTTTCAGGTTCTTGTTCTACCATGTAGTTTTGGTTCGGTTCTTCCTTGTCTGTTCTTCCCTCCAGGGCAATTTCATTCAAAGACTTGCAGAATTCCATCATTTACTTCCTGAACTACTAGGTTAAGGTCGTTAAAGTATAGGGGGGGGGGGCTCTCGCTTGCTAATAACTCATTAAATTACACATTGCAAATTTAATTTTTTCTAAAATAATATTTATTTGTATCCTATACATGAATTATATACATTACAAATTGTTCTTAGTGCTATAAAATTCGGACAAAACTCTAACATCTCGGCCAGTACTGCACCCGGAGGACATGTTATGAGACTCGAGCCAATTACTGGCACTCAGTCGGTTATCGGGTTAAGGTCTCGTGGTTTGAGCAGACGTGGAGATTTCTTGGGATGGGAAGTAGTAGAGAGGAGGAGAGCAGTAGGGTTAAGAAGGGTCGAAAGATCGGAGAGAAAATAAGGGAATGTTACGGTCATTGTGGATAGAAAGGTTGGAGGTATAGTAATGAGTATAGAGAAAATAATTCTAAGGATTTTTGATTGGGATGGATGTGTTGGTTGTTAGACCGCCTGGTGTACTACACAGCTCCAAATGTCCAAATAGTTCGAAATAATGTTTTGTACAGAGTTAGTTTGTTCTTTATTGTCATGTCTGATTTAGGTCCTATAAACCTTCGTAGTTGTACAAATCGGCTATTTAGTTATATTCGCTAAAGTCCTGTGTGAGGGTCCAAGTCAGTCTACTGTCGTATAGCCTTAAGTATTTTACTTGTGTATATGTCGGTAGTTTTTTACTGTTAAGGCGTAGGCAAAGTTATTTGCGTGAAGTAATTTAAGTGAAACTCGTTTAGTTTCATCTTCCGTGTTATGCACCATTCTTCAAAAGCTCAAGATGCTACTGGGTATTGGGGTTGATGATGGCATGTCTCGGCAGGTCAGCAGTATAAAAGGCATATAGGATGGGACGAAGAATGACCCCTTGTGGGACGCCGGAATGAATCGGTCTTCTCTCATTGAACTGCTGCACCTTACTCTGAAGCAACGATCTGTTAGATAGGAATTTTAGGGTTTGGTAATAAGGAGTGGGTAAGAGCTGCCTTTGCAAAAACTCCCAGGTCCAACAAATTTAACTATAATTAAATTTAACTGGGAGATATCTTCTTGGGTTCTGCAGATGAACTTGCAGTATGATCATTTTAGTCCGCCAATCTGTCCAAATCAGCGAAGATAGGAAGACCATACTGATCGGATACGATGAAACAACACATTGCCAGCATTCTACGATAAAGTTGCACAACTGCTACAAAATTCAAGTAGAATTAAATATAAATAACCTTTAAGAGTTTCCATCACTTTCTCTTTCGCGTTTTTTAAAAAAAAAGCATTTCAACCGGTATGACACAAGCAAAATATCAGACATACCCTTAGAAAATATAATATAGTACATTTTTTGGACTGGTGCCATCCTTGGTTTGCTGTCCTCTCAGAGAACTCGCAGGCGTAGGAGTTTCAGAAGTCAGAAGTTCATTCTGCATTTTAAACAACTGTTGAACTTCCATACCTTCGTCAAGTCCCAGAAGACTTTGTGCTGAAAATTATCACGGCGTTATCTCTGATTCCGACAGTTGTTTTGACGTTCATGATTTTAGTTTTATTTTACATCGATTTAAGATTTGGTCACGTCTGATGATTTTATGAATTCAGTAACCAATTTGTCTCAAAAACTTCGGATTTTGTTTTAAGAAACTTGTTTTTAATAGATCTAAAAATGGATGGTAGGAATGTATTATACGAAATTAAACATAAAAATTACAAAATTGAAAAGATGCTTTCAT